GGCCACTGCACTCCAGTCTGGGCGACAGAGTGAGACTCCATCTCAAAAAAAAAAAAGAGAGAATTTGGTGCTAATAAGCCAACAGTACTTATTAAATAAGGTGACCTTCAACAGAAACACACATAAAACAAAGTTTAGCCAGGTGCAATGGCTAATCCCAGCATTTTGGGGGGCTAAAGCAGGAGGATTGCTCAAGCCCAATAGTTCAAGACCAGCCTGGACAACTTGGCGAGACTTGGTCTCTACAATAAATCAAGAATTTAGCCAGGCATGGTGACATGTGCCTGTAGTTCCAGCTACTCGGAAGGCTGAGGCAGAAGGATGGCCTGAGCCCAGCAGGTTGAGGCTATGGTGGCTGTGAGTGTGCCACTGCACTCCAATCTGTGCCACAGAGTGAGACTCTGACTCAAAAACAAAACAAAGTTTATCGATCAACTGATGAAATGTGACCTGGGTATCACAGGAACCTGATCTGTTTCCCTGGGAAAGGAGATTCTGGGTTGGCTGATTCAGTGTTCGCAGCAACTCCATGGAGCATCACTGCTGTGAATAACAGAATCAGCTGTGTGGACATTGAGTGTTCTGTTTCAAGAGGCAGCTCTCCTTTCCCTAAAAGACCTTCCATGTGTGCTTCTGTCCCTTCAGGTTTCTTGACAACCCAGGGCCCTTCGTGGGACTGTGCGGTCACTGGATCAGGCCCTCAGGTACGTCCCAAGGGGAGTGGGGACAGGCGGGGGCCTAGGTGGGACCCGGTGGCCTGCGTCCTTGTTGGGTTGACCTCTTTTTACACCCCTTTATCTTCTTTCTTTGAGTTTTCCAGAATGCATTTGTAACATGTGTCCATTGTAGAAAAACAAAAGTCGTTGAAAGAATTCATAAGTGTCTCTGGACAATAACAGCAACAAAACGCATACACATAATTTGTTAACTGAATCATAATTATGCATTTTAATCTCCAGCTTAGATTTTTGCTCTTTGGTGTTTTGTTTTGTTTTTCATTTAAGAAGTAATCTTGGCCAGGGGTAATGACTCATGCATGTAAAATCCCAGCATTTTGGAAGGCCAAGGGAGGAGGATCAGTTGAGGCCATGCGTTCGAGACCAGCTTGGGCAACATAGTGAGACTCTGTCTCTACAAAAAATATTCTAAAAAGCTAGTCTGTAGTCCCAGCTACTCAAAGGAAGATTGGTCAAGGAAGGTCAAGTCTGTAGTGAGCTATGATGGCGCCACTGCACTCCAGCCTGGGCAGCAGAGCGAGACCCTTCTAAAAACAACAAAAGAAGAAAAAGTACTCTTACTCTTGGAGATTTTCTATGTTGGTACTTGCAGAATTTTGTCAGTGTTTTAAAAATTGCAATAAAATACATATAATATCTGCATTTTTAAACTCTGGTTATGGCTTATTAGTCAATCATAAGGTCAATTTGTGGGTCAAGAACAGAATTTTTAAAAATTACAGGCCGGGCTGGATGACTCGGCCTGTCATCCAAGCATTTTGGGAGGCCAAGGTGAGTGGATTGTCTGAGCCTGCGGGTTCGAGACCAGCCCGGGCAACTTGGCAAGACCTCATCTCTACGGTAAATCAAAAATTAGCCGGACATGGTAGCACATGCCTGTAGCTCCAGCTACTTGGAAGACTGACGGATCACCAGAACCCAGCAGGTCGACACAGGGGTGGCTGTGAGTGTGCCATTGTACTTCAGTCTGGGCGACGGAGTAAGATTCTAACTCAAAAAAAAAAAAAAATTTACAAAGAACAGATAAAAAATATGAGTTCCTTGCAGTAGTAGTTAAGGAAATGCTTGTGCATGGTGGTTTCAGAGATACATAATTCTATTTCTATAGATGCATGTGGACACCGGGTTACAATGTAAAATGTGTTTCTAACGTAGACCTCAGTTTTAAGTGTTTGAAAACTTGGTCTGTGTAACCATGGGTACAGCAAGCCATCGTATGGGTAGACTGTAGTTCATTTATCCACTTGCTCATTGAGAAGCATTTAGATTGTCTTCTACTTTCTGGCATTATAAGCTCTTCCTTCCTTCATTCCTTTGTTGGGTTTTGGTTTAAATACCAATATAATATATGCTTATAAAATAATTTAAACCAAACTGAAATATGTAACACAACAAGTGAATGTTCCTGTATCTTCCCACATCCCCCGCCACTTTTAAAAGTTCTGTGTTGGTGTTAACAGTACGGTGAATGTGTGTCTGTTATCTATTGTTTCGGAATAAACCACCCTCAAATAGAGTGACCTAAGTGATCTCAACAGACGTTTCTGAAAAGACATACAAGTGGTCGACAAATATATGGGGGGGGGAAAGCTTGATATCACTAATCAACAGGGAAATGCACATCAAAAGCACAGTGAGATATCCTCTCACCCTAGTTCGGATAACAGTTATAAAAAATATGGCCAGGCTTGGTGGCTCAGCCTGTCATCTCAGCACTTTGGGAGGCTGAGGCGAGTGGATTGCCTGAGCCTGTGGGTTCGAGACCAGCCCCGGCAACTTGGCAAGACCTCGTCTCTACAATAAATTAAAAATTAGCCGGATATGGTGGCGTGTGCCTGTAGTTTTGGCTACTTGGAAGGCTGAGGTGGAAGGATCGTCAGAACCCAGCAGATTGACACTGGGGTGGCCATGAGTGTGCCACTGCACTCCAGCCTGGGTGATGGAGTGAGACTCTAACTCAAAAAAAAAGAAAAAAGAAATAAACATCAGACACTGACAAGGATGCAGAGAAAGAGGAACTCTTAGACACTGCTGGTAAGATTATGAAGTGGTGTAGCCACTGTGCAAAACAGTGTGGAGGTTCCTCAAAAAACAAAAAATAGAGCTAGCATGTAATCCAGCAGTCTTGTTACTGGACACTTATCCAAAGGAAAGGACATCAGAATATCAAAGAGATGTCTGCACTTCCAGGTAAACGGCAGCATTACTCACAAGAGCCAAGACATGGAATCGACACAGATGTCCAACAGCAGATGAGTGTATAGAGACTGTGGTATATCCACACAGTGGATACTATTCAGTCATAAAAAAAGAATGGAATCCTGTCCTTCTCAGCAGCATGGATAGAACTGGAGGATATCATGTTAAGTGAAATAAGCCAGGAGCCAAAAAGTAAACTCTGCGTGTTCCCACTCATACATGGACGCAAAACAAAGTTGATCTCATAGAAGTAAATAAATAAATAAATAAAACAGATCACAGACGCTGAGAAGGAGAGGGGGAGGGAAGTAGGGAGAGATTTGTTAATGGATGTAAAATTACAGCTAGATAGGAGGAATACATCCTAGTGTTCTGTAGCACTGTAGGATGAATATAGTTAACAATAATATATATTTTCTTATTATTTTTTAAATTGGAGTCTCACTCTGTCGCCCAGGCTGGAGTGCAGTGGCATGCTCACAGCCACTGCAGCCTTGGCCTGCTGGGCTCTGGCAATCCTTCCGCCTCAGCCTTCCAAGTGGCTGGAACTAGAGGTGTGTGCCACCATGCCCAGCTAATCTTTTGATTTATTGTAGAGACGAGGTCTTGCCGAGTTGACCAGGCTGGTCTCGAATCCCTTGTCTCAGACAATCCTCTTGCCTCAACCTCCCAAAGTGCTGGGATTTCAGGCTTGAGCCACTGCACCTGACCAAAAATAATACATATTTTCAAATAACTAGAAGGAGGAGATTCAGTGTTCCCAACATGAAGAAAGGGTAAATGTTTGAGATGATGGATATGCTGGTTACCCTGGTCTGACCGCTACACATTGTGTATATCCAAGCACCATTATATGCCCCACAGATATGTGCAATTATTATGTGTCAGTTAAGAGAACATGGTCAGCTGGACTCGGTGGCTCAGCCTGTAATCCCGCGCCTTTGGGAGGCTGAGGTGAGTGGATTGCCTGAGCCCGTGGGTTCGAGACCCACCAGGGCAACTTGGCAAGACCTCATCTCTACAATAAATCAAAAAATCAGCCGGGCGTGGTAGCACATGCCTGTAATTCCGGCTACTCGGAAGGCTGAGGTGGAAGGATTGCTGGAGCCCAGCAGGTGGAGGCTGCGGTGGCTGGGAGTGGCCAATGCACTCCAGTCTGGGCGACAGAGTGAGACTCCAACTCAAAAAAAAAAAAAAAAAAGAGAGAGAACATGGTCGTCTAACAAGCCCATTTTACTTACATACGATTCTTTGGGATAGCAATTTAGGCTGGGTTCAGCTGGGCAGTTCTGCTGGTCTTGCCAGGGGACATTCATGTTAATGCAGCCATCCGGTGACTCTGCTGGCCTGGAGGGTCCTCATTTTCCTCCACAGTGACTGGTGCTGGCTTGCTACTGACATGTCTGGGGGCCTCAGTGGGACAGCTTATCTCTGCTCTATGGGTTCATGCATCCTCCAGGGGAAAACGGGACTTCTTCCTGGGACGGTCTCAGGATAGCCTTCCAAGAGGGGCATGGTGAACGCTGCAAAGCCAGGAAGTCCCAGAGCATCACCTCTGCCACTTTCTCTGGATCCAACAACCGACAAGCCAGCCCAGACCCAAGAGGTGGGAAAACAGAGTCCATCTCAGGATGGGACAAGTAGCCAAGTCACATTACCAAGGGCTGATCACACAGGGATGGGGGGATCTATCACCACGTCTGCAGACAGTCTCCGCAGTCTGCCTCCTGGACTTTACATATACAGGAAATATAGATAAACCAATTTATGCACACATAGTTTTGTTTTACAAACCTGCTGGGTTTTTTTTTTTCTTTTTTACGAAACGATTTTTGTTTTTATGACCAAAAATGAGTTCGCCTTGCAAACGTCTTGTTCGGCCTTTTGCTTCCTTCACTGAACCCTGGGCTGGTGTCCTTCGTGTCCTTCCTTCTAGGTCCGTCCCAGCTTATTTGTGACAGTTGCACAGGGTTCATACTTTGGCTGCACCATAATTCATAACACCAGTCCCTGTGGTGGGATACTTAGGCTGCTGTGGCCTTGGCATTGGGGACGTTGATGTCGCTGTCGTCCTGTGCCGTGACCTGGAGAGCTTCCATGTTGCTCTTTGAACTGGAGGCAGAAATGCACCGAAGTGGGTATTCTGGGCCCATTTCTTAATAATTTTAAATTTGGGGGCTCAAGTCCTGGCTCAGCTGCTCAAGTGGGGCTCCCTTCCAGTTTTAAGCCAGTCAAGTGGGGCTGGGCATGGCCTGTTGGGGTGTGGCTTGTTTGGGGGCGGGACCCATTGAGCGGCATGTTCTGGGGGTGGGGAAGTTGCAGCCTGGGGTTCTGTGGCCGGGGGACCTTCGGTGGGTACGTGTTCCCCCCCTGAGCCTCAGCTTCCCCCTGAGTAAAACAGGGCCAATAGTAACCCCACCTCTGGGGTTATCCTGAGAATTCAATGCAGACCTTGGCCTGGTTAGACGTCCCCCAGGTAGGGGCTGTTAGGACGATTGGTAATGGCGTCATAGTGGGCACTTTTTGAAAAGTGTATTAATGGTGTTGTGCTTGTCTCGGGGTTTGAGAGTGTGCACCTTTTTTTTCTTTTTTTCCTTTTTTTTTTGAGTCAGAGTCTCACTCTATCACCCAGGTTGGAGTGCAGTGGCACGCTCACGGCCACCTCAGCCTCGACCTTCTGGGCTCCGGCGATCCTTCCACCTCAGCCTTCTAAGTAGCTGGAACTACAGGCGCATGCCACCACACCTGGCTAATTTTTTTATTTTACTGTAGAGACAAGGTTTTGCCAAGTTGCCCAGGCTGGTCTTGAACCCCTAGGCTCGGGCAATCCTCTTGCTTCCCCCTCCCAAAATGAGGTATGAGCCACCATACCCAGCGCATCTTTATCTTTTAAAGCAGGTGTCAGTCATCTCTGTCCCACAGGCTGGCCCACCTGTTTCGTGCTGAGAATTGTCTCACATTTAAATGACTGAAAAATTCAAAAGAACATTTCCTGACTCTGGGGACTTCCCTGAGATTCCAGCCACTGGTTCAGGAATAAAGCACAGGGCACGCAGCTACCTTGTCACTCAGGTGCTGTCTATGACTGCTTTTGTGTGATACCCGCCAAGCTAAAGAAATATCCCGTTGGCTCTGAGCCACTGAAGTCTGCCAGCCACAGTTTAGAGACACACAAAATATTTACACCTGGGTCAATGGCATTGCCAGCTGGAATTTGCTTTAAACTAACGAAGGATATGAAGTGGCAGGGCTTTCCACAAAACGAGACTGGCTGTGAGGTGATCATTGCCAAAACAGAGTGACAGGTACTTGGGTCTTCATGACAGCTCCCTGGTGCCTGTGTTTGATGTTTTCTAAAAATTGGTGGAAATAGGCCCCAGGCTCGGGGTGGGGGCCACTTCTCAGGCCTCTCCCCTCCTCCACAGAAACCCTGCAGGAGTACCTGAGGGTGGTGATGGCCCTCCAGTACAACGAGAAGCCGCCCTACGCCATGCTGAGGAACAATCTGGAAGCACTACTGCAGGATCTGTGCGTGTCACCCTACGACCCCCTTGACCTCCAGATGGTGCCCTAGGTGGGAAGAGTGTGTGAGTCGTCACCCCCCCCCAGCCTCCTTGTCCCAGCCTGGCTCAGGCTCCAGGGCAGGCTTCCCAGAGGCTGTTCCACCATCACACAGGGCCCAGCTCCCCAGGTAGAAGCTTTCTCCACAGGGTTCTTGAACTTTCCAAGCCCCAGGAATGGCAAGTTGCAGAAACCTGGCTCAACTCAGTTTTAAGGAAGAGGGAGATTGATGGACTGTTGTGGCTAGAAAATTCTAAGGGAGGCCTTCAGACATGGCTGGATCCAGGGCCTTGAAAATACCAACAAGGCATAGTCTGTCTCTCGCCATCTTTCTCTGTCCCTTTGTCATCCCTCCCTCCCTCCCATCTGTCCTTCCACCATCCGCCTACAGTCTCTGCTCTTCTGTGGACTGTCCCCCTTGTCTGTCATTCACAAAAGGGAGCTGCTCTGTGCCCTGTGCCACACTCAGCTCTGTTCATGTCATGGAATTCCCGGCAGCCCTTCCCTTGTCAGAACGGGGTGTCCACAGTCTTGCCACAGCAGCACAGAACCCCGTCATGGGGGGGAAGGACACCTCTTACAGATGGCCTCTAGGTGTTTTCTTGGCTTCCCGGGGTTTCTTGGCACAGACACCGCCACCTTGCACCCCTGTGTGACAGCCTGCTGCGGGCACACGTGTCTGTGCATGGAGGTGTCATCTCGACGGCAGTAACTAAATTGCTTGACTCCAATTTGTACCAGGCGAGGGTGGGCAGGGATTCTTGGAAGGTCAGAAATGAATGAACTTCACAGTTAGTTTTGGAGAGTGAGAGGTGTGTCATGAAGAGGAATGTCCCCAGGGCCCTCCTGTCTCTACACAGGTGTCATTTCTGTCCTTGAGGTTGACTGGAATCAGCTCAGAGCTTTGTCTGACTCAGGTGCTTCCAGGGGGCACATGGCAGCGTCTGGAGACATTTTTGGTTGTCAGGGCTTGTGGAGGGCCTCCAGGCATCTGGTGGTAGAGGCCAGGGATTCTGTTCAACACCCTGCAATGCCTCCACCTCTGCCCCCCACTCAGCTCCCAGATGTCAGCAGGCACAGTTGACACACCCCAGCCCAGTGACATCCCAGGTGGCCACCCATCTCCTTCAGCCATGACTCTCTTGCTGCTCTTGGGTTACAAGTATTCCCTCATTCCCACAACCTATCCTTACATCCGAAGCTGAAAATCTGACATGACACACATCCCACAGTGCACCACACAGTTGTCTACACAGCCCTGTTCCCGTCTGGCAGGAGCGTGGGTTTAATTTGCAGCGTCTCCACCCCCTCTCCACACTGTAAGCCCAGTAGGGCTCCTTGTCCCATCACAGTGATGTCCCCATCCCTAGAGGTGCCTGGCACGCCATGAGGGTAGAGAGGGCGAACCTTGAATGATGAGACACTAACGGCCATTATTATTATCTTCCAGAACGTTCAATATGCAATTTGCAATAGGAAAAAAAAATGAAGCAATGTGACTCAAGGCCTGCTGTTTAATCACGGATGAGCTTCTAGAAGAATCCCTAGAATGTGCATTCCTGCCACGTGTGTAGGCGACACTCCTCAGTCCTGACCTGCCTCAGGGAGCCCCGAGTGAATGTGAAATTCCTCCCCTTGGTGGCCCACCCTTGACGCTCTCGTCCGCCAGCTGGTGGGCTGTAGCCAGAGAGGATGCCAATGCCCAGACAGACGACAGGGTGGGCCAGAACCTGGGGGGACCCCTCTTCCCTTTGACACCACTCTGCTTAGGTAATAAATTGTTTTAGCGGAGCCTGGGGAGTCTGCAGAAGGAGTCCTTCTTGGGAAAGCGTGGCTCCTTCCCCCCATCCACCCTTTCAGCCTTGCGGGTGACATCCCTCACCCGCTCATTTGTCCAGACTCACGCACACACCCGGCCACCTCGTCTTCCCCTTTTTCCCCGCCTGCCCGCCTCCTGTCCCGCCCTCCCTCCCCTCAT